GGGTCCAAGGTCCTGGGGCCTGGCAGAGATGGGAGTCGTGCCCACTTGTTCAGAGGCAGTTCCGGACAGTTCCCAGTGGCTCTGGCAGGCATCAGACACAGCCTGAGTGCCCACATCCTGAGCAGGGGCCAGAGGGGCACTGAGGCCCCACTTCCAGCAGGTCTCAGGGTCATAAAAAGGTGAATCCACGTGAGGCTGGGGTTGGGCTATAGCTGTGCACCGGCCCAGGGGCCGCGCAGAGCCCCACAGAGCCCCACAGGGCAAGGGCTGGAGGCCGAGTCTGAAGGTGGATGACGATGGTAGCCCACGAACACTAGGCTGGACGGTGGCAAAGGCGGCCTGTGCGGAGCCTCCGCTTGAGCTCCTGCCACAGCAGCTGTCGCTCCCGCCAGGCGCCCTTCACAACGCCACTGTTCTCCAGGGCACGGCGGGACAGGTAGGGCAGCACCTCCATCACAGGGCCGTAGGGCACATACTTGTACACGGGAAAGCCTGCCTGGCCTGTACACAGGCAGCAGCAGTGAGTCCCAGCCCTGGACAGCCAGCCCCACCACTGCTCCCCAGGGAGGCCTCGCTCACCTAGTGGGAAGCTGATCTGGTCGCACATGCCCAGTAGCTGTCCAAAGTACACCTGGCGATCGGCAGGGTACAAGCCCAGCTCCTCCATCCTATAGACAGACAGTGTGGCAGGTGAGCCCCGCCGCGCCGCGCCGCCCCCCCACCGACTGCCACTCCCAGATCCTCAAGCATACACTCTAGCCTCCATCCCCTGCAGTATGGCCATGGGTGTAGGCTCTGTGCTGCCCAAACCAGGCCTCTGCCCTGGTTCCCACCTTAGCCCGTGGCTACCAAGTTCTGTCCTCCCCCTTCCTCTGTGTGCTCTCTCCCTTCCCTCTTGTCTGTCCTGACCTCTGTTCTGGTACCCTGACCCAGCAAGGCAAGCCTGCCCCAAGGTGTGGCCTGGGGAGGCTCTCAGAGGCCCTCCCCTGCCCCATTTTGAGCCCCTCTCTTCAGTGCCACATCCTCAGTCCCTCCACCCAATCGGGTCTCTTGTCCTCCCCTTGCTGGCTGCTCTGTCCCATAGAGCGGCACCAGCCACTGGTGACCACGGAGTCTTTAGAAGTCAGCTGGCCTAAACGGAGACGGGCTGCGAGTATCACACACACATGGAATTTTGAAAACTGTGGAAAAAAGAATGCACTGTTTCTCTGAAATGCTGAATACAGGTAATATTTTGGGTATGTTGGGCTAACTGAAAGGTATTATTGAAATTAACTTTTTTGTGTGGCTAGTGGAACATTTAGAATAGATGAGGCTCACGTTTCTATTAGCGCCGCTCAGATGTTGGGGTGGGTGGCCCCCAACTCTGTCCAGCATCCTCTCTGTCCTCACACCTCCCCTCGTAGGGTCTTACAAAAATTCCCAGGGTTTTAAATGTCTACTTGCTGAGGATTCCTACATTTTTTACCTCCAGCTTCCTGTATCCACGTGTCCAGACTCAACATACCTGCACTAGCGCTCTGGAACCTGCCCTCATCCACCTCCCTCCAGGGGCATGTTCAGCCTGGGTTCTTACACACACCCAGGCTGTTGGCCAGGAGTGCGCTCCCCTGGCATAAGGGTCATCACACAAGCCCTTTTCCTCCTTCCCTCAGAGTCTGGCTCCAGTGTGGGGGCCACCCAGTCTAAAGCAGGTCACAGTCTCTACCATGTTGTCCTGGTCTCCGGTTTAGGTATCTCTGGGCCCCACTGGAACGTGAACCCTGTTAGAGCAGGGCTGCCTCCTGACTACTGGCGGTAGGGACATTCCGGTGGCTCCCGCAGTGACGGCTGCTGACCCCTCTCCGCACCCTCTGCCCTGTGACTGCAGCTCCCCGCCAGCAGATGGGGGCTCTCCACTTGCCATCTAGGCTGGGCCTCCTGACTTCCTCTGGCCAGCAGGACAATAGCAAATGTGATGTGGGCAGAGGCTTGCCCTCTCCAGGGCTTCTGGAAGCCTGAGACCACCATGAGGCAAAGCCTGGCCTGGCCTACTGGAAACTGGACATGTGATGCAGTCCCCTTTGCTGATGCAGACCCAGTCGGGTGGAGGGACTGAGGATGTGCCAATGAATGAAGCCATTTAGGTCCAGTCAGGCCTCAGCTGACCACAGATGCAAGACAGGCCCCAGGCAAGGCCAGCAAAAGCAGCCCCCAGCGAGCCCAGCCCACCCTGCTGGCCCACGGGATACACTGCTGTTCAGGCCTCTGAGTTTGGGGTTGGTTTGCCACTTGGCCAAAGCTGACCCAAGCTGTTCAGACGGAGATCCCCGATGTGGCATCAGAGACCCACACTGCTTCCTCGGGGAGGGCCAGCCCAAGCTGCTGTGGGCCCCACAGAACCACGGACTGGGGGCTGAGCCTTCTCCACGATAGTGGTATTTGTGGAGCCTGGCGCAGGCCCAGGGGGCTATGAGAGAGGGGAGCGTGCTCAGAGGGCACTCCAGATGGGGGGAAGCCGTGTCCACTAAGATGGTGAAAACAGACATGTTGTTGCGTGGGGGGATTCAGAAGACAGGAGGAAGGGAGCCCTTCTGAGGACAGGTTATCCCTCTCCGAGTCCCACTGTCCTGTGTGTAGCTGGTGTCTGAGTGGACTGTGATCCCTGCATTAGATGTGAGTGGCCAACAGAGCCGGCTGAGCGCGTAACTGAAACCTAGGAGGGCGTCACTTTCCACACCGCTGACCCACACGGGGGCCTGCCACTGGGCAGGGCTGCGGGTTCCCAAGTGCTGGGCCGGGGGTGCAGGGAGGCTCTTGGTGTGCATCGTCTAGTGGAGGACCCTGGTGCCCGAGGGTTCAAGCTTTGATCAAGTTTCCATCACAGAGTAGTATCTTTAAGTCTAAGGGGAAAACAGGTTTTAAGATTTACAACTCAATCAGGTGTTTGTTTTAGAAGTCAGGCTAGACCTATTTTTTTTTTTTCCTTTTGTGCTGAGCGCAGAAGGTGCCCCTGGCCCTCTGACATCCACTGACAAGGATGGGGCATCCGAGGCAGGAAATGAGCACCTGGGAAGTCCCTAGGGATGCAGAGAAGGCGGAACAGCCCTGTCCAGCTGGGACTCCACTCGGCCCCCCACCCGTCCCACGGGAGGAGTCAGACCCGGCCCTGGCAGGGACTCTTGGGAGGGAGCCTTGTCACAGTCTGCACTCAGCCCAGGTGGCACTGGTGGCCTGGGCGCTCTTGTCCCCACCCCATGGCCGTGACTGCTGCGCATGAGAAACCACGGCTGTCAGCTGCAGTTGCGGGCTGTGCGAAAGCAGCGCCATCACAGGCGGAGAGGCGGCTCCTCGGCACTGAGTGGGTGCGGAGTGACCAGAGCGCGCTCATCAGGCCGCGCCCCGCCCTGGCTGTTCCTTCATCCCTCCTTCCCGGAGCCCGGCTCGGCCACAAGCCTCGGGCGCCCTGCTCTGCTCCCGGGAAAGGCTGCCCCGTGCTTTGTGTGGGGCCTCCGGCCCAGGAAGGTGGCGACTGGGGCTAGGACCCCCCCGCCGTGTGGTGCTGCCTGGGTGAAGATGGAGAACACAGAAACATGGTAATGACACTGGAATATTTAAGAATTTACTTCACCTTAGTCCTATATCTGACTTGTATGGATTCTACCAAAGTTTTGCTCCACAGGACAGGCATTTAAAGAGAAAACAGACTGTATTAAATTCCAAATGCAGTTTAAAGCGTTGAGAGATTATTGATAAACGAGGTGACACGCCAGAGGCCTCCCGAGGGGCGCTGACGTTACATACTGTATTTGTGCATTTCTGCAAGCACAAAGTTCAGTAAGCGCCTAAGGAAATTTAGCTTTTGGATTTGCAACTTTAATAAGTCAGGTATTAACTTTAAAAAGCAAAGTAACTACAAATCGCCTTTTTGCTCCTGCAGTGTCTGGGGGGCGGGGGGCCTGCAGGACACTACAGCTGCCCTCCTGCTCCCCGCACAGACGTCACCCCGCGGCACAGGCTTCCACGGCCCTCGTCCCGAGCCCCTCCCCCACCGGGGAGCACCGCACAGCTGGGGGGGGCGCCTACCTGCGCAGCGTGAAGCGAACTGTGTCCTCATTGTGGGAGGCCACCATTACTTTGGCCTTGGTGTTGTGCTTCAGCTCCTCCAGGACATAGTTGAGGCACCTGGGGGGAGTGCCACGTGAGCCCCAACCCGCAGGGGCCACAGGCAGGCCCAGGGCCATCCAGCGAGCCCACTCCTCCCAAGCGTGGCCACAGCAGTAGGACCACGGCTGCACTTGACATTCCTCAGCACCTCGCGGCTAAGAAAGAAAACACGAGCAGCACCCAGGGCTAGACATGCGACGGGACTGGCTGGGGCACGGTGCCCCCGGCACGTGACACGTACGCCTTCGCTTCCGGGCAGGGATCCACAAGGAAATCAAAGGCCTGGCGGGAGCGGGGGCCTCCCCCCGCACGGTGTGAGGGGGCTACCGTCTGGCAGCGAAGGTGCACGTCCTGGACCCAGCAACTCGGCTGCTAGGAATGTGCCACAACCGTGTCCCTGCCCGTGAGTACGTGGGGACAAGGTGTGCTACGGGTCGCTACCGTCCTGACGGGGATGGGCATGCTGCTAGCCGCTGGGTTAACAGCGGGGGCCCTCACGCTGACACGGGGGCGTCCCAACGGGTGTTACCTGGAAAAGCAAGGGCACAGGGCTGAGTGCACGATGCCAAAGCTGAGGCGGGTACGCACATGCATACTCAGAAGCTCTGGGAAAGTAGCAGGGAACTGCCAGGGAGGACGCAGGAGCCAGGCAGACGCCAGGGGTCTGAATTTGCGACACATACACACAACCCCCTGGAGAGAGAGCACACGCTCCGCCTGCCCCTGCTGCATGACGATGTTGGCAAGACAAACACACTAAAAGCAGATGCAGAACAGCTGATGACCCCGGTGTGTAATATGAAAAGCAAATGGGCTCTATACAAGTCAGGAGGGCCACCCGGGGCATCTCCCTTGTCCTAAGTGTCAACAAGAGCCAGCTGGCGGACCTGGGCCGTTTAGTTTTATTCAGTAGGCTTTTCTGTACTAAAAATGCACCTTAATAGTTTTTGGAAAGAGTAGAACAACAGAGGATTCAAAAAATAAACAGTAAGTTAAAAGCAGAGGAGATAATCAGTTCTGGCCTCAAGCGTAAGTCTCACTCCTGCTCCCCCTTCAGATGGGCGTCTTGTGGGGTCAGTGCCAGCACCCGGCCCTGTTTTCTCATTCCCCTGCCCAGGAAGCCATGAGGCCCTCGGGGCCAAGGAGGGCTGGCGCACCTGTGGTACATGGCATTGGTGGCCTCGTACGTAGGGTTAATGGGGTCCTCATAGCCAATCTCTGCGGCGCGGGTACGTTCCTGGGCCATATATGCACCCCGCACCAGCTTGGCCCCAAAGCACCAGCCCTCGCGGCGAGCCAGCTCCACGTCCAGGGTGACGTTGTCATAGGCGTCCTGTGGGACCGGGGCCAAAAGCTGATGACGACCAGGATGAGGCCCCCTCCAGCCTGTGTCCCCTGAGGCCCAGGTGCTCCCAGGGTATAGTCACTGTGGGACACCAGGGCCAGCAGCAGCTGGGAGATAAGTAGGGGTGAGGAAGGTCCCTTGACCTCTGTCTCTTAGAAATGGGGATTCTTCTGGGTAGCCTGGGACAACCCTGTTGGGGGACAGACGAGGTGCCAGCAGCCATGGTGCACTCCAGAGTCTCCCTGGGCTGACAGTGCTGCATGCTACGGGCACCTGCCTGGAC